CCGTCCATCCGTCCGTCCATCCCTCCGTCCGTCCGTCCCTTCCGGCCGTTCCTGTGATTGTCCGTTCATCCATCCGTCTGTCCACGCGTTCAATCAAGCGTTTGGCGGCTTTCAATTTGGCGTTTGCGGTCTCGACTTTGGGCTTTTGGTGATTTGGGTATCGCGTTTGCCTTGTAATTGAACGAAATCACAAAAACAAATCTGTTTCTGCAATTGTCGTTTTTGTTTTCCTATCGCGGTCCGTCCGTCCGTCTCCGTCCGTCCGTAACCATCCATCCGGCCGCGCCCGGTCCGTGTCGTTCGGGTCCGTCGAGTCGGTCCCGTCCCGCGCTGTCCCGTCCGCCGTCCGTCCGTGGGTTTGTCTGTGTCCATCCGTCCGTCTGTCCGTCCGTCCATCCGAGCGGAAGCCAACGAGATTTGCGACAACGAACGCTTTAGGGCTAACGGCCGGAGCCCCTTGTTTAAACCACGAGGGTTGCCCAGGGCGCCAGCTGCGCTGGCGGACCCTAAACCCTAAACCCTAAACCCTAAACCCCTAAACCCTAAACCCTAAACCCTAAACCCTAAACCCTAAACCCTAAACCCTAAACCCTAAACCCTAAACCCTAAACCCTAAACCCTAAACCCTAAACCCCTAAACCCTAAACCCTAAACCCTAAACCCTAAACCCTAAACCCTAAACCCTAATACCCTAAACCCTAAACCCTAAACCCTAAACCCTAAACCCTAAACCCTAAACCCTAAACCCTAAACCCTAAACCGTGCCACCTCAACTTACTTAAACTCTCGCGGGGGGCTAACCACCTCAATATACTTAAACCCTCGCGGGGGGCTAACCACCTCAACTTACTTAAACCCTCGCGGGGGGCTAACCACCTCAACTTACTCAAACCCTCGCGGGGGGCTAACCACCTCAATTTACTTAAACCCTCGCGGGGGGCTAACCACCTCAATTCACTTAAACCCTCGCGGGGGGCTAACCACCTCAAATTACTTAAACCTTCGCGGGGGGCTAACCACCTCAATTTACTTAAACCCTCGCAAACCCTGGCGGGGGCTGTCGACCCTCGCCAAGGCCTTGAGGAGGCGCTCCAGAGGCGACCTTGTTTGAGGGTTCAAGTGGATAAAGCTGAAGCTCAGGGGCGCGTTTTAGGGTTTGCTTACGTGCACCGCAAAGCGGCCCGACTGCAAGGAGGAACGGCTGGGGGAGCACAGAGGCGTAGCGTAGTACCGGTCCAACCTGGGTCAAGGAGCAGCAGGAGCCGTTTGCCTTTTTGGCATCAAACCTGCTCGCCTGAAAAATGGGATCTCTGGAGTCGAAGTTCGCTGAACTTCATTTTGAAGATGTTCAGTCTGGTGTGGTGCTGCTGTTGATTCCTATGAATGGCTGTACGCCGCAATTGAACCAGATGCACCAGAGGTCACAAATGCATTGAAGCCGACAGGAAACATCACACCACCAAAGACCCCTAGTAGTTACGACGGCAAAATCCTAAAATTTTGGCATGGATCGATACCACGCAAGGTGCAGTGGGGTTTGCCGTTGCTTAAAAGCTTGTGGCACGGCAGGGGCTGCTTGGTGCCGTCGGCACCATACTAGGGCTTGGTAATAAGCAAATTGTTCTCTAAATGTTGGACCAAGATGTGCTGGTTCCGTGGCAAGAAACTGCATAGTTGGTATTGCCTGGGCCTGGTGTTGAGAAAGGAAAAGAGAACTGGCAACCGACGGAAACAACAAATGCGGCCAAACTTTTTCGCCTGCCGCCTGAAGACTAGACGAAGGGTGTGGAAGAATAGAGACGGAGAAAGGGAGAGAGGAGGAGAGCGAACGAGAGAGATAGGAGAGACACGCAAGAAAGCAAACACCAAATTCAACACAAAGATAAAAAGGAGACACGGAGGAAGAAAACAAGAACCGAGTCAACAGAAATCATCAACCAGCCACCAGAGGAAGCAGAGGGAGAAAAAGGACAAGGGCTGGAGGGGCAAAGAATGAGAACAGGAAAGAATGAAGGCGACGAGACCACGATCAGCATGAACAACGGAGCTGACAAAAACAATACGGTTAAACCAAGACCAAGAAGGAGATCAATACTTGGGCAAGGCGGCCGAGCCGTTTGCGCAAAGCCTAGTTCGAATCAAGGTCCCGACGGCCACGACGAACCTCGACGACAGTCGGGGCAACGCGGGGTGAGGGAAAGCAGGAGAACCAGTGCCACTAAAGCTTTGGGTCGACAAGACAGAGAAAACCACCTAACCCAGACCCACAAAGCATCACGGGTCCAAACTAAAATCAAGTACCTCCAAAACGCCCAAGGAGGCAATGCAGCTGGCCCAAAGAGGTTCACGCAGCGTCAGAGCACTACAACAAGGCGGTTGGCCACCATAGACGTATTGACAAACCTTGATGGGGACACGGCTCGTTGAGAAAAATACCTGAACATGATACTGTGTGGCAAAGATAAATCATTGGCAGCTTGAATGACAGCTCCAAGAGTATCGCCCCTGCAGCAATGCACACTGAGTATGTGCACGCAGAAGGCAGCCAGGCAAGATGCAATGTCATATGCACACGGCACATATGAAGGAAACCGTGAACGTAAGTGAGGTGATCAACCAGAACAATCCTGAACCATTGCACGGAGCTTCGTTGTGCAAAGCTCCTTGCATGAATTCGGTGTGGTAGTACATGGACCGAAGTCAAACGGGATATGTATAGTGGCGCACACATATACACACACACACACACACACACGTGCTCACGCGCAGACAGCAGATGGTAGTGGCTGCACTGAAGATTCAACCTGAATCAAAAGAAGAGACAAGTCTCAATTCGTCTTCGACCTTGAAGCCTTGAGACAGAGAATCACCTGATCCCGTCCCAGCTGCAAGATTCCTTCGTCGACCTGGAGCTCCTGTTAGACGGACGGTTTTCGCACGCTCAAACTATCTGACACGATCTGACGTGAAACGTGCGCTGCGCTGCCGAGTCTGTAGTGCGCGGCCTGCGTCTGGTGGAGCTCGAGAATGCACAGCCGCTGTGGATGGCGTGGAATGCTTGCCAAGTCTGGCTCTGATGCTGAGCTTTTTGACTGCTCCGTGATGCTCAGAGCGCATTAAGCTCCTCCAGACAATCTCCAGCATCCCGGCGATGGACACCCAAGCTGCCCCAAACCGTAGTCCTCGGCCACTATGAAGAGCACATGAAGTTTCCTGCTTTGTTGGCTGAGTCAACAGTCAGCCACGCCCTCGAAAGCCTCAAGGATGTTAACCCAAGAGGTAGAACTGATTTAGATCCTACGATGTTCCACACCGAATATGAAACCCCACTCACCCTTGGTTGAAAGCAAAAAAAAAGCCAAGATTCATGCCCACAGCTAGGCCGCTAGGCTCAAGGTATCGAGGGCAAGACTGCCATGGCTGCCTCTGCTCGGACACATTAAACTCCTTCTACAGCATCAATACCATTCTGGACCCCATTACACGCCAAGTGTGCGAAACCGGCCCGCTCATTGAGGCTTATAGGTACAGTGCAGGGATACGCGTCTGAAGAGTGGGCTGCCTCCTTGGCCTAAGCAGCTTCGGGCGGGAATGTCCAGTTGGGAATTGCTGCTTGATTGAAAACTCAATAGCTCAGGCCGCAAAGGCAGCAGAACTAAAAAAGGATTTCAGCCAGCTTTCCGAGAGCAGTGCTGCAATCTGCTTCAAAGCGCAGGCAAAGCAGGCAAAGCCCCAGAGTACACGGGAGCAGGACGGCTCTTTCTTCGACCAGTTGTTGGCAGAAGCTCCGTAACTGTTCAAGCACGCTGGCTGAGTGCAGTTCTAGTCTGCATCGCAGCCTGTCACACACCTGAGATTCTGCCTGCAGTCTCAACATCTGCAGCTAGAAGCTTGAAGTTCCAAATTCGAGCTGATGACAGCTGCCGTGCCTGGCCACCAACAACCTGTTGCTACTACGAACTCATTTCGCACATCCTCTTGTGACCAAGCCTCGTGCTAAAACGCTATCCATGCAACTCCTTGAATCGATGAAGCTCGTCGGCTCTCTTGAAACACGTTCACATGCACCAACGGGAGGGTCCTTGTGAGGAAATGTTGTTTACAGAAGCTCGTTAGACGGCTGATCCAATGAATACAACTGCCATACCCCCCAACCAGACTAGCGAATGCCTTCTAAAACTAGTAAAAGCCTTGACCGCTGTGAACGGTGACCCATGGCGACCTAACCTCAGGCTGCCTTCGAGAAAACGCGGAATCCAGAATACTGTTCGCCACATCTTTACAAACCCTCCTCCGGCGACATGTCCACGGGAACAAAAATGGAACAAAGGGCTGCAAAGCCCTCTCGACCTGCCAGAACTATCCTCTCCGGCACTGCCGATGGCTGTGACGACAAGTCTACCGAGAGCCGGGCGGACTAGGTACTGGAGAGATGTGGGAAGGTCTGTCGAGGTTTGTACAAGTTCACTAGATTAAAGTCCGTCAACTGCTGTCGGCCTTGCGTCTTCAAAAAAGCTTCGGCAGCTTGATGTCCGTGCTTCTGCCGGATGGTTGGCGAAAGAGAAAAGTATTGAACAGCTGAGAAGAGAGGTGCCAACAAGAAACATCGCCTTATCATTGCTCAATTTTGCATATAGGCGGGAGCATGCATCTTGCACTGGACTACAATCAAGCGATGAGGTGATCCGGGCGTGTCTTTCTCCCAGCCCGTTTTTGCAGGCAGTGGGTGGTCCACATGCTCGTAGAACCTGCGGCCAGTTCCGAACTCTAAGACTTGAAGTCTTGAAGGGTCCTTGTTGGACTGACAGCCAGGACAGACAAACGCAGGCAGGGCCACTCCGATGCAACACGACCCTGAAGAGAGACGTGCATACTCGACGAAGCTGAATTCACACAACTCTTCAAAATTCGGCAAGGCAAGCCAATGGCTGCACCAAGCTCTGCATAGCTATGCAGAGCCAGGTCAAATACAGGATCCCCTGCGAACGAATGACTACAAATCACAAGCTTCGAGCAAGCATGGAAAAGTTTCCACGCAGACTTATGAGCTCGTCATAGGTCCCTGATTCGACCAGTCGGCCATTTGAGAGCACATAAATCGTGTCTGAGTTTAGGATTGTGGAAAGCCGATGCGCAACTGTGATAGTGGTCTTACCCACCCTCGCTTTCTGCATAGCCTGCTGCACAATGCTCTCCGACACCGAGTCAAGTGCGGACATGGCTTCATCCAGGAGCATGATCTGTGGCTCGCGCAGCAAAGCCCGAGCGATGGCACCTTGGTTTCTGCAATGGGCATCTACATAGGCCGAACGGCTGGACATGGCCGGATCTAATTGCGTGCGCGTGACATCTCTGCTTCTGTCCACCGGAAAGCTTCTCTCCACGAAGGCCAACTCGATCTGTCCACTTCACTGCGCCGGAATTTACACCTGAGAGAGCATAGCTACCGTCTGAGAAGACAAAATCCATGTTGGCAGCCCTGGCTGCTTCTCGAACCTGAGCGACTGTCGCCTCGGGACATCCATACCTCACATTCTCTTCGAGGGACACGTCAAAGAGAACAGGCTCCTGGCCGACAACACCCAGTTGCCTCCTCCACCATGCTACGTTTAGATCTCTCAACTCTGTGCCACCGACGCGGATCGAGCCGCACTGAGGGTCATAGAAGCGCTGCAGGAGCTGGATCACCGTGGACTTGCCACTGCCCGAGAAGCCAACAAAGGCCACCGCTTGACCCGCATGGATCGTGAAGTTGAGCTTCTTCAACACGCGGACCTTTTCATGTCTAGATTATTGCACGCAGTGGTCAGCCACCTACCTGTAAACTTGGTGTCATCATTGAATGGTAGCACGATGTAGCACGTTACGTCGTATGCTAAGTGCAAGATTCGTTGAGCAGCGTGATGCAGTGTGTACACCCTGGCCCCTGCCCCTTGATATGAGGAGTACTGACAAAAACAACCTAAATTGAACATAATGAAGGCATGTGATCTCATGCCTGGTGTTTTAAACAGCGACAGATAGTTGCAAAATGTTCAAAAAAAACAAAACCGCATCCTTGCAAAAACCATGGTGAGGGAATGTGCGGGATGCCAGTTCAGGGAAGCTGAAGAATCATCGAAGGGCTCGTGACACAAACCGCTGAATCCCCGATTCTAGCGAGCACGTCCGCAGTATGGTGTCCGTTGCATCTAAATGTTCTGAAATGTTATGATATTCTATGGTCCCTAGATGTCAGTAGACTAAACGAGCACGGAACGCTCAGAAAAGATCTGGCTTGACTCGATCATCTTGCCTCCGGGCGATGGGGATACCAAAAGTGGACGTCCTGGAATTGAATCGACCCATCCCCAAGGCTCTCCAAAGCCTGTGTCGGTTGCACGGCATCGATCTTGGAAACCTGGTCTATGAGCCGGAACACCTCCATTGCAGAGTGGTACCCCGAAGCGGAGTCAGGGATGTACTGGACGATGGAGCTGACAGACATCACCCCGAACACCACGCAGAAAAGGGTCAGCAGCACTTGTCCAGCATCGAATCCCCAGTACTGAATGCAAACCGCACTCATCCAGAAGCCCGCCAAAAAAATCAACGGAAAGATGCTCAAATTCAGGCCCAGGGAAAGACCCAGTTTCCATGATTTTGCGGTGTTGAGGTCGGTGAGCTTCTCCAGGGAAGTATCGATGAGTTCAAGGATGCGCTCCTCTGCCCCGAGAGCTCTCACCGTTCGGATACAGGTGGCTGCTTCGGACGTCGTTTGCCCCACTTTTCCGTACACCTCCTCAGCTTCTGGCTCGTTCCTGCCACAGCAATTCATCCAATTCATCACGCTTCATGCACAAATGGTTACATATGTACATGTGTGTGTATACGTATATATACCACAACAAAAGCATTCACATATTCGTCATACATCCCTGAAAAGCGCTGCCTCTTTTCAACTGCTTTTGCATCGGTGGCATGGTCTGTGATTTTTCCGCACTTCATTCGAATCTCCGTTTGATATCTCGCAGTTCTTACAAAAACTGTTCTTTTTCGAGGTCACAAGGACCGACCGTTTCCCGGTCGGCATCTCGCAGACTGCAAATAGGGGAAAATCGAAGAAACTACAGGGTCAGGGAAGGTGGGAGAACAAAACTTTGAACTCGATTCTTATACCACAAAATTTGCCGCGGGAATACAACATGTGAAGATCCTCACAATCGATCGTGTAAGCATGAAAGCAATGCCAAGGGTTGCCACTTCGCACACAAATGTGCTACACGACAACAAAAGCTTTCACACATTCGTCATACCTCCCTGAAAGCGCGTTGCCTCTTTTCAACTGTTTTCGCATCGGTGTCGTGGTCTGCAGATTGTCCGGACTTCATTCGCAACTCCGCTTGATATCTCGCACTTCTTACAAAACTGTTCCTCTTCGAGGTCAAGAAAACCGAGCATTTCCCGGTCGGCATGTCGCAGATTGAAAGCAGGGGACAGTCGAAGATAAGCAAACAGGGTTAAAGATGGTGGGAAAAGAAAAACATTGAACTCGATTCTTATGCCAAGCTGGACACGGGATACATGTGAGTTCGTTTTGGTCGACATGTGAAGATCCTCACAACCGATCGTGTAATCATGAAAGCAAGTGTTTGCCGCTTCGCTACACGACAACAAAAGCTTTCACACATTCGTCATACATCCCTGAAAAGCGCTGCCTCTTTTCAACTGCTTTTGCATCGGTGGCATGGTCTGTGATTTTTCCGCACTTCATTCGAATCTCCGTTTGATATCTCGCAGTTCTTACAAAACTGTTCTTTTTCGAGGTCACAAGGACCGACCGTTTCCCGGTCGGCATCTCGCAGACTGCAAATAAGGGAAAATCGAAAATAAAGCTACAGGGTCAGGGAAGGTGGGAGAACAAAACTTTGAACTCGATTCTTATACCACAAAATTTGCCGCGGGAATACAACATGTGAAGATCCTCACAATCGATCGTGTAAGCATGAAAGCAATGCAAAGGGTTGCCACTTCGCACACAAGTGTGCGACACGACAACAAAAGCTTTCACACAGTCGTCATACCTCCCTGAAAGCGCGTTGCCTCTTTTCAACTGTTCTCGCATCGGTGGCGTGGTCTGCGATTTTTCCGGACTTCATTCGAAGTCGCCGTTTGATATCTCGCACTTCTTGCAGACATGTTTCTTTCGAGGTCACGAGGACCGACTGTCACGTCCTCCAATCGGAATGCCTCGAGACCTCACGTGTCTCTGGTTTCCAAAGTCCGGTGCAATCGATTGACTTCTTGCATATCGGAGAAGCCCTGACAGGTGGCGAACTCGACGTCACCGATGATCTTGGTCCACCCTCCAAGTCAAGCCTGAAAGCAACTCAAGTTTTAGCCATGCTTGGGAGCTTCTTCAATGTCTTCGAAGCGATTGAGAGCGTCGGACACTTTGGCTTTGCTACGCTTACCGACACCCTTTATCAAGGCGTGTCGGGACGCTTGGCTGCCACAGCAATGGATGTGGAAGTCGTCGGGAAACGCTTCGAAAATGACCGGGGCGAGTATGGCTGCCCAGGCATCGAAAAGGTATATGAAATCTTGGTCGGATGAAAATTTACGCACAAGGACGGACGGCAATCGACCTTGGAGATAGGTCGCTCTCCGTACATCACCTTGGTGGAAACCGACAGCCGCCCTTCCATTCTCGATGCTGGTTGAGTTCCAGTTTGGAAGATCTTTACCGCCTGGGTCCCAGCAGATGATGCTTGTGCTTTTGTCGTTGGAACTCGCGTCATCAGCCGTCAACTTCGTATCACGTTCAGCAAGGCCAACAACGACGTTCTTCACGGGCATATAACGCCTTGAGCGGAGCCCTTCCGACTTTGCCGAAAAGCCGCCTGGCGATGAAGTTGCACTTGCCTGCCATCTTCCTTGCTTCTTCTGGATGCATCTGACCCGCAGAAAGATGCTTCTCGATCTGTTTGCACATGGCCGTAACTCGTTGTGGGCAAGGTGTATATAAGGATAAGGATGTTCGTATCGGAGGAGCTGATGAGCCCTTGGGCTCGTTGTTTCGTCTCCGGGGGTTGACGTTTGCTCGGCTTCATGGAGACCTCGAGGCAAAATTGTACTCTTCGAAGGCGTCGAAGCTGGGCCGGTTACGACCATCGTTCGGCTGCACACCGTGAATTCATTGCCGAAACGGTTGTAAGACGAGACACTCGTTGCCGAGCCGAACTGTCTCAACGAGACTCTCGCGACTTCTGTGTCGTTGTCGCATGCGTCGTCGACTTTAGTTCGGTGAGGAATAAGGAGTAGTTCTCGGGTTTTGCGGCCAACAAAGCCTTCGGCAGGGATCCTCTCGTCGACACCTCCGAAGTCCAGAGGTCCAAGCGCCGTACAGGCACAGGCCACACAGTAATCTGTCGAGGTCTGGTCTACGAGTCTACAATTGACCGCCTCAAGCAGATCCGCTTCTGAGACCCATTTCAAGACCCCTGTCGAGGCCTCAACAGGTCATGGGCTCGGGGTCCGGAACGCTGCCAGCTATACCAGAGCTGGACCTGTCGCAAACTGAGAGCAGCGGTATTTGTGTTCATGTATGACGATCAGGTACCTGGCGACTGGGTCTGATCAATTCAGGGTGGTTACATGCTCTCTGATTGTGGGCCTGCTCTCCCATGGCCTGCCACGCAGGCAACTGGATGTCAGGTAGTGTCTGCCATGCGACGGCATTGTAACATCAGTCATGTTGGCCTCAGCTTGTGCCTTGGTCAGCGTATTCGGTGTCTTCTTCACTACAGCAACCACAGGGGTCCCACGCACCCTTTACGGGTTGACTCACTCCCAGAGAGTGGTGCATCTTATGGTTCATGTTTCTGTGCGGCCTTCGTTTTGCTGTGCATGGAACTTCAATGCCGCAACGGCACATTCTTTTTCATCCATCTCAGGTTCAGGTGCCCTGCTGGACGGTCATCAACTGGCTGCCTCCTTTTCGCCAGAAATGGTTGAGGTCGCGCCTGCTGTCCTTCCTTTTTCAGGTGTTGTCAGGGCAGTCAATCACTGCCAGCCCTTTGCAAGAGCCAATTGCGGTCCACCTTTTGGAACCACCAGCTCGTTCTCTCGATACGGTGCACTCCCAGCGAGTGTTGCATCTTATGGTTTGATTTAGGTCTTTGTGCGGCCTTCGTGTTGCTGCACTTGGGATGTGGATGCCGCAACGGCATTCTAACTCTTTAACCTATCTCAAGTCCTCATGTGCCCTGCTGGGCGGTCAGCAACTGACTGCCTCGTATTCGCCAGAACTGGTTGAGGTCTCGCCTCCTGTCCATGGATACATGCTTTGGTGCCTTGGTATGAACCAGGCCGCGGATGCCTGGCGAAGGTCAACTGCACAACTTAGTCCTGTCTATGGTCTCTTATTTCAATTACCCCGTCGGGCGGTCAGCCACTGACCACTTCCCTCTCCAGCTCCAGCTGAGCTCTGCCCCCGTGGACTCCATATGCCCACTTTCCTGATCAGTTACACTCCCAGCGAGTGTTGAAGTTATGGGTCTGAATGTCTCGGTGCCACCTGCAGCGTTGCGCCAGGGCCGGTGTGGCCGTAGTACAGTCTGGCTCTTTTGCTTTCTCAGTTGTCTTACGACGTGCATGGCACGAGTCGTGTGCAGCATGAGAGCCGACGTCTTAGGCACTTCCGAAAAGCTCCTTCGAACTGCTGCGATAATTAATGGTTCCTGGTGTTTTTTTGCCTTCGGCTTCGGTTTAGGGCCCCTTTCCCTTTGGACCTGGGGTTTTCATACTTACAATTACGGCAGGCATTCACTCGATGCTTGAATGCACAGGGCATCCCTGCAACCCGACGTGCAGCGATGATTATGGTGATCATCCTGGTCGTTTGCTTTGCGAGCATCCTTCAAGACTTGTGTCTGCCACTTCCGACCGACCCTTCGGAGAGCAGTGGTTCAACTGCAGATTTTGTACACTGTCAAGGACTCCACCTTTCCATCGACGTGCATGGCATGAGTCGTGTGCAGCTTGGGAGCCGCCGCCTTAGGCGCTCCCGAAAAGCTCCTTCGAACTGCGGCGAGCATTAAAGGTTTAGGGCCCCTCTCCCTTAGGACCTGGGGTTTTATACGTATAGTTCCGACCGGCATTCACTTGATGCTTGAACGCACAGTGCATCCCTGCAGCCCGACGCGCAGGGATGATTATGGAGATCATCCTGGTCGTTTGCTTTGCGTGCTTTCTTACAAGGCTTGTGTCTGCCACTTCTGCCCGACCCCCAGAGAAGCAGAGGTTCAACTGCTGTCAACGATTCCACCTTTCCGTCGACGCGCATGGCATGAGTTGTGCGCAGCTTGGGAGCCGCCTCCTTAGGCGCTCCGGAACAGCTCGATCGAACTGCTGTGAGAACTTATTGTTTGCCTTAAGTTTTTTGCCTTCGGTTTCGGTTTAAGGCCCCTCTCCCTTTGGACCTGGGGTGTTCATACGTGCAGTTCCGGCAGGCATTCACTTGATGCTTGAACGGACAGTGCGTCCCTGCAGCCCACGCTCCGGGATGATTGCATATGTCCCTTTCTTTGTTTAGTTTCACTATGGTCGGGCCGTGGTCGCTTACCCCGTCATGCGCCCCGTAAAAGCAGCAGCAGCAGGTCATGGGTTTGGAGGAGGCCGAGTACGTCGCTGAAGGTCTGGTCTCGAGCCTAATACGGGCTAGCTTCTTGTCACACTACTATGCAAGGAATGCTGTGAGCTCGTGGCATCTTGAAGCGAATGTTCGAAACGAAGTAGGACCAGAAGGTCGGACTACACTAACTACGGGGTCTTGGGCGATAATCCTAGCCAGGTCTCCAACCTCTTCTCGAAGATGTTAGACACCAGCTCGTAGTAGATGAAAAAGCTGCCAAGTGTTGTCGAAGGAAATAGCCTGCTCGTTGTTCGTCCAGGCTGACTCGGATCTCCCGGATCTGGTCCTCCAAACGGCATCGATGCGAATGTTCCATCCGCCCTTCTTGAAAAGGACTTCCGCTATGGGGGGTAAACTGGTCTCAAGCTTCTCGTAGTAATCCGTTCCTTGCCAAGCTGTGCATCTGGCACAGGTCGTCGATGTCCTCGCATGCTTGGTCGAGCTCGTAGTGAGAGGATGCGTACGTTGATGATGGTCGACCGACTGCCCAAGAGGACTACTCGGGTTCACTTGAGCGAATCTCGTACCAGTAGACGTCCCGTACAGCTTTGTATCGATCGACCCGCGGAGGCCCTGGGATTCGGTCCTGACAGATTCACAGTCCGACGCATCCTGTGCTCGCACAGGCAGGACCCGACTACCTAGCGAAAGCATGAGCGCGGCCACCGTTTCAGCAACCTTTACCGCTTTACCGCATCCAGCGAGCCGGGGGCCAAGTCTCCCTGTCCGAGGATCAACACTGCAGAGAAACGTCCACACAGTAGACTCGGGGCAATGCTGGATGGGGCGAAACTGTCAATTGGCCCCATGAAGGTCACGTCTCGGAACATCCGGCAGTGAAGAGTGTCCAAACTGTCAGAAGAGCTCCACACAAGGGCCGAGAGAAAGCCCTACTCTGCAGGTGCGGCGCAATATCTCATTGTGCGCGAGCACTCGAAGGGAACTCTTCGGTTAATGAAGGGTCTCCATCCATAAAGGTTTGTGACCCGCTCGACGGACTATAGGCATGCACATCGCTAGCGCGGAAGCGTGCAAGGGTCTCGAGCAAGTCGATATGCAAGCCTCCGTGACATCGCCGGGGCGGAACGCGAGACGAGAAGGTTGTCTGCGATGTGATCGGCGTGCCCCTCACTTGTAGAAGTCGCGGCGCTTGTCTTGGATCATGTCGAGGTGGTCAATGTCGACAAAACTGTGGTCACCCGCCATATACTGTCTGAGGAGGAGTCTCGTCGCATCGGTCCACGTCGTCTGTCCAAAGTACGGGAGGACCTGATGTTTCATAAATGCCAGTGACAAAATCCTGACCAAATCCGGCCATGATCTGTTTCAACTTGCCGATCAGGGCGTCGTCGTCCTCGCGTTCCCACCCCATGAGATACAACCAATACTCGGTGTTGTCTCGATGGATCAGATGGGCTCGGTGGTCACCAGGAGAGCCTTCTGCGCCGGCCCGAACTTCGGCGCATTGAGAGACGTCGGGTTGTTTCGAAGGGCACGTGGGTGATATCCGGTGGTAGGAATAGCGTCCACGTCGCTCATCGATGTGGGAGTCGTAGGAAATCTGTCCAAGCCAGTGGTGGTTGTGAATCACCGAAGTGCAGGTCGAGGATTGGCAGATAAAGTGCTGGTCGAGAGTCCCAGAATTTCTCGCCGTCCCACGGAGGATCGATGACTCTCGCGATGGACGACAGGTTCCCACTCCTCAACAGCTCACTCAAACTACATGAATCTGCATCGATAATGCAGTCGGTGGGGTGGAGCTTCTCGGCGAATCGTGGTCTTGAGATCCCCAGTGCGCGCCTTCCTATCTCGTCACACATTGTCTTTCCAACTCGAGGATCCCTGTTGGTTGATATCCGCTTCGACGAACGGTGAGAATTTTGGTACAGCTTGTACCAATCGAAGATCCCGACGGAGTCAAAGATACTCTTCGAGGAATGTCTGATGAGTCTGATGATGGGCTTCCGTACCCAACGTCACTTCGCCGTGTCACAAAAGGACTCGAATTATGCTTTGATGAACCATCCGCTGTTTGGTCGATGGCGACATGCCGGCCCGGCGATGCAGTCTATTATGTGCTTGGTCCTCCTCGACTCTAGTCACCCAAGTCCTCCAAGTTCTTCGTCCGTGGCAGTCGGGAATCGGGCTCGGAGTCGTTCGAAAGCCGATCGGAAGGCCAAGACTTCGAGGGCCCTTCGGCTGGTGTCGTCGGCGTCGTAATATGTCGTCACATCGGCCCTGCTGCTTTGCCGAACGACCTTCATCGGAGTTCGGCTCGACGCCTGCCAATACGCTGCCAATCGGCGTCACCGGCCCCGGCCGTCGAGGATGCTGCGTCTTTACTCGACGGCTCCCCACATTGTTCAGTAGGGTCCACCTCCATGGATTCGGGGTGTGGCCGATCTCGGGTAGGTTTTCTTGAGAGCCCCATGACATAACGAACTTGCGGAGCTTAATCGAAACATGTATGTGCAATGTACTGGCATCATGTTACTGCTCGAGCGGTGTCCAGAACGTACCATCGCTCTAAGTTGGGAGATATCGAATGTGCAATCGACGCGACTGCGATTTCATCGGAGCAAAGCGTCGTGTCCCGGGTGAGTACCGCGCATCGCCTAGGCGGAAGCGACCCCCCGGAAGATGTGAAGTGCGTATCACTTGCGTATCGAAACGCCAGTTGCGAGCCTCTCTCCGACGGAAATCGGCCAGGCTACTGAAGGTCAGCCGAACTGCATCCTTGCGGTTGATTTGTCGAAGGCGACCGCCGTCTCTGTTGTCGAACTGAGCTAGACGTCGACCTGCCCACATCGTGATCTGCAACTGACAACGCATGCATCGCCCCTCTAACTGGAAACCATGTTGATTCCAGCAGTTCTGCAGGTAATCGCAGAAACCGCGGAACCACTTGTGCCGGGTCAAATCGGGTGCGACCCTGTGTTCGTTGATAAACCCTTTGTGCATGTAAGGCAGTTTGTGCGGGGTTGCAGTTTTGGCTCGCAAGATACGCGGCAGATACATCGGGCAAATCACAGCTGGCATCCTGTCGTAGGGAGCTGGGGCGGATGACTGCGCCTCTTCGGGGACCTCGATGGAACCGTGGCGCAAAAATGAGTCCCACGAGTTCTTCCGATCCTGGGCCGTGGCTTCGAAGGCACCTCCTACAAGTAGAGGAACAAAAGATGATTGAAGTCGAACCGTATTGTACCAACAGGACACGGAATACACGTGAGTTCGTGGCGATCGACATGTGAAGATCCTCGGAGTCGATCGTGTAAGCATGAAAGCATAGAGTTGTCAATTCGCAAACAGCTATGCTTCACATATATGCATAAGTACATACATGCATACATGCATACATGTGTGTATATATATATATATATATATATTAAATTATATTATATTATATTATATTATATTATATTATATTATATTATATTATATTGTATTATATTATATTATATTATATTATATTATATATTATATTATATATTATATTATATTATATTATATTATATTATATTATATTATATTATATATTATATTATATTAAATATTTTATTATATAATATATTATATATTATATTATCTATTATATTATCTATTATAGTATATTATCTATTATATTATATTATCTATTATATTATATTATATTATATTATATATTATATTATATAATATATATTATATTATATTATATTATATTATATTATATTATATTATATTATATTATATTATATTATATTACATTATATATTATATTATATATTATATATTATATTATATATTATATAATATAGTATATTATATATTATATTATATATTATATTATCTATTATATTATATTATATATACATATACACATATAGGTACTCACCACACTGTCCCATGTGTCGGCATGTGCTATTGCCAGGCCAGGCTGTACTTGAGAGCAGAAAAATTCAATGCTTTGGCATCTATGTCTAGCCAATCGTACTCTCGCCAATCCTTTGCACATCCTACGATCCAAGCCAAAGCCGTTCTTCATCGTTCTGCGGTCAAAGTTCCTGTGTACTGTACAATTCCTCGAATCACAAGGTTTGCATGGATTGGCATTGGCACACCGAGCGTTATCGGATTAGCTTAAAATCCGCGCCCCACCAAATTACGCACGCGTACGCACACGCACCTGCACCTACAACCCATCTACCTGGTGCTGCTTCTTCGAATAGGGGGGGTGCTGCCGCAGAAGCCCTGATTGCGCTTCTAGTGGAAGCTCTTGTGGTGAAGTGGGTGGGTTCGTTGGTAAGAGTGGGCAGCCACCACGACCACAGCGGTTTCTCCGATAGCGCCCCTCACAGAATCATGCATGTATATGCCATACCACGACGGAGAACATGCTAGCATAAGCCGTCCTCAGGGCAGAGACTGCCACCAGGAACATGAGGACCCCGCAAAATGGCAAAAAGAGCAAGGCCGCCGAAGCGAGGACCCAGCAGCCGCAGAAGCTGAGGACGATTGCAAGGAAGCACGTGAAGATGGCACCCATTGAATTCCCGAGCTGGATGCCCAACATTTGCCCCACTCGATTCATGTGCCTCTCCAGGGACACCAGAATACTTGCTGTTTGATTCTCTGGCGCATCGAAGAAGGCCATGTCCATGCGGAGGGTGGTGGCAAAAGCTTCCTGGCGCAGGATCATGCACAGGCATTCCTGCACGTATGTAAAGAGCGAGTTCTGCAGCAACGTGAAAACCCCAGAGGCCAGGCCGACCAGCACCAGGCGGAAGACTGCTCGGTCGAGCTCAGAGTGCATGACCTCCTGCTTGCCACCACTGCCGAAGAGGGACATGATGGCCGAATTGAAGAACATGGCTTGAAGTGGCATGCCAGCTGCTTCGGCTACGACGATCACGACGGCGATCGGCCAGATCCACCAGTAATTCTTGATCCTGTGAAGCAAGCGGCACCAAATCCGCGAGGTCGTGCCAGCTCCATCCTCGTTTGGTGCTATTGCCGGTTCGAGGAAGCTCGCTGGAGATATCACGCGATTGGGACTAGGGTGTTCATTTTCCTCCTCCGTTCTGGCTTGCTGCAACTTGGCCATACTGTAGTACACGCCTTTCTGCTCCATGAGCTGCTCGTGGTTGCCCTGTTCGCAACAGCTGCCACCTTGCATGACGTAAATCATGTCAGATGATTTGATAGTGGAAAGCCTGTGCGCAATTGCGATGGTGGTGCACTGGCCCATGGTCCCTGTGTTTAGTGTGTCCAAGGTAGCTTGCACCATGCGTTCGGACTCGCTGTCCAGCGCCGAGGTTGCTTCATCCAGAACCAAGATTTGGGGATTCTTGGCCAGGGCACGCGCGATAGCCAAACGCTGACGCTGACCTCCTGACAGCAGCCCCCCTCCAGCACCGACGAATGTGTCAAAGCCCTGTGGAAGCCGGCATAGGGTGTCGTGAATCTGGGCAGCTTTGGCTGCCTTGACGGCCATATCGTCGGTGATGGAATCGTCACCTGCTTTGAGGTTATGCATGGCAGTGGTGGCAAAGAGGACCGGCTCCTGGCCGACATAGCCAAGGAGTTTGCGCCAGGCCTTGATCGGCACTTGGTTCAGGTTGACTCCGTTGACCAGCACCTCTCCCTCGCACGGATCATAGAATCGCTCGAGAAGTTGGATGGTGGTACTCTTGCCGCAACCGCTCTCACCGGCGAGCGCGATCTTCTGGCCCCTCTCCATTCGGAAGCTGAAATCGCTGAGGACCCATTGGTTGGGCCTGTTCGGATACTTGAATCCCACATTCCGGAACTCGACAGTTTCGATCCTTTGCAGCTCTTGTGGCAACACGGTAAGTGACGCGGGTGTGTAGAGTGGCTGCTCAATTCTACGTTCCGACTTGATCATCTCCCTCATGCTCTTGAAAGACACAAGTGCTCGCGCCATCACTGGAGCATACCCGCTGAAAGCACTGAAGCCGGAACCTCCCACCATCATCGAAATCATGACTGTGACGATGTCACCCGGCCCTATGCCGGAACTTATGTCGGACATGAGCACATGTCCGCCAAACCAGAGTGCCAGTGCATAAAGACAGGAATAGAAAAAGTTGAGGCCACCCCAGGCAGTGCCTATCCTCATTCCGGAGCGAATCCCACCCATTTTTGCTGACAGCAATTCCTTTTCAAACCGTGCCGACTGCACAGACTCGCCACCGAAGGCTGCTACCGTGCGGATTGCCAAAAGCGACTCTTCTGCCACAGAAGACGCTCGAGCAAAGTCTGCAATCTGCACCGCCGTTTTCTGCTCAATCTCTTTGCCCATGCAGTTGCCCGCGCAAATCAGAATAGGAATGGTGGCACACACGACAAGGGAAAGCTGCCAGCCAAAGTACAGGGCCAAAGACAAGCCAGCCACGCTTTGGCCCAAACTTGCGATCAGGTACCCAAGCGCGGTAGACATGAACACGTAGACGTTTGCAACATCGCCTTCCAGCTTGGTTGCGGTGCCTGCTGGCTCGTGATCATCATACCAGCTGATGTCCTGCGACAGCAGCGCTGCCAAAAAGCTCCGGTGCCAGCGGCGTGCTTGCTTGGCAGCAGCCCAGGAAAGGCAAGTTTGCCAACCGAAGGCGAAGAAGAATTGCATGATCGCCAAGACACCAATTTGGATGAGACTTGGATTCATGGTGTCTAGCAAAGGTGCGTCGGCATTGTACACAGTCATGGTGGCAATGCTTCGCCCGGTGAAAAGTGCAATCGCGGGAGCTGAGATACCTTGTGCCAGGGCCAGGATCATGCCTGTGGTTAAAACGACCCACTCGACGAACTCCGGGAACTTCAAGGATGTCTTGGGTCCAGCCAATTTCTTCTCGTGCTCGAGCTTTGCCGGGCACACCTTTTCACTCCATCCTTTCTGCTCCAACGACAGCGCCACATCATCTACATTTCCCACCTCAATATCGACCTGCGCCGAATGTCGCCCCAGTCGCCCGAGCAGGACAGGTGTAGATGCCGGGACCTTTCAAGCCGCTTTTGATGGTTTCGGAGCTTAGGTTGGTTTGTTCAAGGCCCTCATTGAAAAGACCCTGACCTGATCGACCATGGGAGGCGCCAAGTCGGAGGTCGATGGACGAGACGTTTTTGCAAGATTGCTCACGCTGCTGTGCTGAATTCTGTCAGCGTGGTTTTATCTTGAAACTGTGCAACTATCTAGCGCCCACTTGGTGTGTGAAAGGCTGTTCAAAGCCACGTGTGCTCTTCGGGCTAGGGTCCATGTGCTTGACTTCAAGCTAGTTCTGAAGCCAGCTTTTCAACACATGTATCATGTACGGAAGTGTGCGGCTGAAACTTGGAACATGTGACTCAACACAAACTGCGGACAAACACTCATGGATGTAGCTATGCCATGTCCACTTCGCCGGTGGTTTCTGCTTCGGTTGCTGTCGAACACTTTATCTGCTGAGTCACGACATGAAATGACAAAGTGACGAGAACACCGACTACAATGATGTACATTGACCCTTGCAGCGTTTGTACCCAAATTGGCCGACTTGTCTAGTTCTGGCAACTCCACGGCCAAGATAAAATGTGGGTGCGTGGCCTACCATCAAGGTGGCCGGATAGAGAGAGAGAGAGATGAGACACGACAGGAGATCGAGTGTCCCGAAAGACAAGTAACACTAGAAGAGCAGCGAGGTAACAACCGAACATCATGTCATCCATTGTCCATCCATCCATGCATCTATCCATCCTTCCATATCCAGTCACCATTTGTAACATCATTCATCCATCCATCATAAGCCCATCTATAAACTCCTCCAGAAACCCTTTCATAAAGGATCGCGATTGCGGGCCTCCAAGATTCTTCCCCGTGCTTCCACCCATGTACTGGCGGGGCACCCTTGCTTCCCCAACCAGAATGCTCCCTTGAAGGACTGGTGGGATTCAAACATGGCCAGGCCAAAATCAAGGCAGTACCGCACGTAAAGTGTTTGGGGACACCAGCATCACCGACAGGGTTGTCCTTTCGAGCCCAGCAGGCCAATGTATCGGAATTTACAATGGACCGCGCTCACGGGACGAAGTTATATGTTGTCATGTCGAAACCAACGTGAGGCTGACGTGTTGGAATCCAAGATGGATCGCTCTTACCGGACGATGAAAACACGTTGCATCCACCGAGAAGGCTGTCATTTCGAGACCGATGCAACACCAAGGAATTGGAGTCTACAATACTACAACGGAACGTGCTCATATACCGATGCCGGGATCACCGAAAGAGCTGTGAATTCAAGACCAAAACCTATCAACATGCTCGAATTTACAAATGTGTACAAGATCGCACTGATCCGAGGACGCGGACACGCACATACCGGCAACATCGAGAGGGTTACACGAGCCGTCACTGCACCGCACGTGCAGTACCATTTCGCTTAGCCGAATACACTGGATTACACTGGCATCAGGGGAGCGAGGCGGGCGGCGCAGCGGTAAAATTACACGTAGCTGGCTCCCTGCGAGCCAGTGCCTGTACGATCAGTCAGGCGAACGTGCACATCGTGGCCTCCCACAAATTCCCAAGTGAAAGAACACACGTTGCCGATCCCAACCTTCATTTATCCCTCCACCTCATATTCGAAGGGGGAAAGTGAAGGTGAAGGCTTGCCAGTTTCGACTACCGCCCCGCCCCATCCCCCGAAACCATTTCAGTCCCCCAACATGGGGATAGAGAACACAAGAGCTGCAATGGGGGGGGAGGGGAACCAGGAGTGCCCTTCAGGCAAGGAGCCCTTAGTGCCGCCGCCCGGGGCCGCACCTTTCGCATAAAAACTCCCGCCATTTGTGCGTGCTAGTGACCCGCCTCGTCCTCCTCATCCTTTAGGGCAGCCATTAGCTTCATCATCTGAAAATTCCCGGATCTCGTGCAAAAGTCTGCCGGCGCACTTCTGAGTTGTCTACGTAAGACTACGAACTCGTGACATGAAGCTTGCTGCTTGTCAGATAAATATGAACGAAGCGACATGAGAGCACACAACCAGAACTGCTCGTAGGTGTTGCTGCTTCCGCGACAGGATTCGTAAGTCTTGAGACATCCGCAGCCTAATCTACACACCGGATACAACGATATACAACGCCAGTGCAACGATCAGGCTAGTTCACGAGGCGGAACTGCTCTCAAGTTATGAAGCTTCACGGAGCCGGAGAGTTTCGAGCTTCAAGGCCCCGCGTCGAGAAGACTGCCAGTGACATGGACAAATCAGATGTAGACTTGTATCCGGCCCCAAGTGCCAGTGTGAGACGGACTGCGGAAGGGCAAGGTCCGTTCTAGCGACCATGGCAGTCAGCCGACAAATGGCTCGACCTGCTAAACCGATGACCGTTCAAGCAACACCAACCTTGTACAAATCAGCCTCCGAGCCTTGACGCGGACTAAGCAGCCGATGTCAGTTCTCGGGGCGCTCATACCGTGACAGGACTGGGTGACGACAGCACCATGTTGGAGCAACGGACAGACAGACACTACTTGCACCCATTGGTCTGCTACTGACAAGTATTCTAAGCCTTGGGCGGGATCAGCAAACGAGAAAGCATCTCCACAAACAGTCAATCCCCTTTTCAGCGTGTATGCAGTCTGAACGGAACGCGACAGTTGCAAGCAAGGCTGCACATCGTAGAGCGCAGCGAACTGCTGTCCCATGCTGCTCGAGCAATCACGGCTAACTTGAAAATCGCACGCAATGCATTGCGCATGGCACGTGTATTTTGTCATCCTCCGATCAAGAATGTGGGGAAGCGGTCACTGCAGCGCAGCATGGACTGGAGCATGCTGCTGCATTCGTAGAGGCGGGGAATTCCGCCAGCACAGACTAGGTCGAAGCCTTTGACAAAATGTTGTTATGCGGCATCGTGTGATGTCACACCGCAGGGATGAAATTTGATCCTGAATCTTCTCAGTTCAATGGCCACGTGCGTACCAGATATGTTGCACGGGCTCACGAGCAGTCATATGTGGCTGTCGAACCGAAGCTCAGGACCCGCACATGCTAATCAACTGGTGGTCGCCTTGCTTCAAATTCTCATTTAGTCCCGAAGGCACCGTGCAGACTGCGATAGCGGCGCTTCGGACTCCGTACAAGCTTTAAAGCTAGCGCTCTTGTGGCCATACACGGGTGCTACAAAAGTACGACAAAGCGCCGGCCGCTGCCCAGCACTGGTCTGGAGCCTAGAGAAAGATTCGAAGCACGTCCGGACCAATGCTGAGATGTGCACTTCCCTTCATGCTGCCCTAAAACCACGTGCAGCTGGCAACCAAACGTGGCCTGCTTTCACTCTGGATTGTCTTTGGGCCGCTGCGCATCCCACCTGCTGGTGGCTAACACGCTGTATGTGATATATACATCGTCCACAACTTTGCAAGACTTTAGTATGTCCTGGGTAGACGCACAACATTGTCCATTTGAGAAGCTGGCAAGACTAGGACTGCAGCTTTGGCCACATGATGTGCTGTGATGGTTCGGTGACTGCGATTGCTTCTACCACCGGCCCAAGCTGCCCCCTCACCAACCATGCTAGCGGCACAACAAACTAAAATCCAGAACACTACGGCTCCGAAGCCATTGAGAGAGAGATTGAACACACAGTTCCGTCGAACAAAGCCCCAACACCACTGTAACATGTCGGTCCAGCGCGCAAGCCGCTCACAATAGCTCGCGCCTCTTGCCCATTGGCTCAAAAGGAATTCGCCATCTAAACACTGGCGTTAAATATCGATGCGGCCCGTTCTGTGCAAAACTCCGCAGTGCCGAGATCCAAACATGTCCACGAGAAGGGAACAACAAGTGCCAGCGAAGTTGCACAAAACATCCGTACGCATCACCGGCTGTCGGCAGCTTGCCCGGCGCAACTGACAGGCAAGGCTGCAAAGCGAAAGTTGAAGTGAGCCAGCTCTGCCGAAAGATGTTGTCAGGATTCTTGTTCTATGTGGAAGTGGGAGCAAAGTGGCAATCGCCTCTTCACGTGCAGTCTACCAAACCCGTCAGGTCCGCATCGACTTCGTTCAGAACGCTGTCGATGCTGGCCTTTGGTGTTGGCACGCCATGTTGGTCATTTTCGGCTGCGGCTCGTCTTTACAACGGAACCAAAGGAACTGGGGCACTAGTCCCTAGGATAATGCAGTCCGTTTTGCTTGGGACTGACCGACTGACCTCTGGCGCAGCTTGGACGGTGTATAAGCGGTGGAAGGTTGGGCCGTTGGGCCCGCCAGGAGGCCCGGGAGGGCCAGGGCTGACTCGCAACGGTTGCCGCTTCCTCACGTCGAAGTCCGAGAAGCGAAAACATCACCTGGATGTCCTCGAACTCCTGGCACCTCACCCGCCTGCTACAGCAGCCTACAGCCTAAGCATGCAGCCTAGCGGAGACGTCTCGGCGTTTGCAGGTAGACTTCATGTCGCGCCAGCCAGTCTTGACACCGCCAAGTCATGTCTGGCAGGCCACCGATATCTGCACAAGCGCGAATGCTTCATGCACCTCGCAGGAAGGAAATGCTGCACAACGCCTGCGCAGTTGGAGCATCTTCCCGCAACAGGGTCGCTGGCGACAAAGGCACGATGCCCATGGTGCTGGGTCGGCATCTGACGATTACGATTCCAGTTTGCGGCGAAGCCATCGACAAAACCAAGCCAGGGCTAAGGCCTAGACGAGGGCCTCGACTCTGAACACATCTAGACATCCTAGCCTTTCCAAGAGTCATACGTTGTGCTGTGCGATTTAGGAGGCCAAGTCTAAGTGCACAAGCAAGTGGCTTGTCAAGGGCGGCGAGCGCCAGGAACTGCAGGCTCTGTACCCAGCATGCAAGCTTTACAAATCCACTTCGAATCTTCGGAGCCAGAAGAATCCAAGAAGCTGCTCTTATTGGAAAGCAGTTTTGCTGACGCGTTCGTCGTACTTCGCGGTGGATGCAGAAACGGAATCAAATTCCTCTCGCGAGTTCTACCCTTGGGCCACGAAGATACAGGCTGCAGGCCAGGAAGGCCGGAGCATTGCGAACAAGCCGATTCACAAGGCGAGTCTTGCCATCCCAGAGTCGGAGTCTTGTGCCTGTCTGGGTAGTGTCGGTTCGTGGAAGAGACGTCGGGAGAGGAAGTCAGCATAGGGGATGCGAGGCAGACCTGGAGGAACTGACGTCCTGATCTTCAATGGAAAATGCTGACGGTCGTGGTGGTGAGCACAATCGACTTCAAGCACCTCAGGTAGGTTGGTCAGTGAGTTGTATGCAGAAGCCAACTGCCACTATTGCGAGTCCAAGGCTAAAATCCGACTCCTAGGCCTACGCATGCCGGGGCGTGCCGATCCCGGGCGCAGCAGCACGGACTAGCAGTTTGGGCTCCACGACAGCAGTTCACGCGCAGCCCCAAGCTCGGCGCCTAGCATGCTTACATTGCATCGAACGCTGCCTCTGGCAGTTTAACTGCGTCCCCGGCAGGACAACCGGGTGCTTTGGAAGAATCCGGAATCGAGGCCCGCAGGGTGGACGTACACATAGATTCTGCAAATTTCTACGACGGGTCCAGAAGCGGAGCATGCGGAGTTGAGGAAACCTGAAGTGCCTTGCAGGGCCCCTCGCAGCCTTTGCAGGCTTTGCAGCCTCGCAGCGCCTCGTGGTCCAGTGCCGTGGAAATTTCTGTGCGACTCGCCACTCGGCCCAGGCTGCTTCACACATGGCAACGGCACGCGCGGCACGCTGTGATTTGCAGTCCGCTTTACTGCTGGTCCTCGATGTGCGCTGCTTGACGTGTCCTCTCTACATGGACACTGCAAATCCTCAGCATCGCAGTAGCACTGGCATGGACGTGATGCTCCATGTCAGTACACTTTGCAAGCGGGAGAGCATGAAGAATGTTCACGAGACTTCAGAAGTATGCATGCTGCCCATGGAGGCTGCTCCAGCAGCATGTACAGGAAGCTGCCCGTGCAATATGTCGAGCCAAAGGCCTGACCGGTCTGCTTGCAAAACAAAAGCCAGAATCGTTTCGGCAGAACTGCCACTCGCACAAAAGATTTCTCAGAACTGCTTGACGACACTCAGCTTACGCTCTGTGGCCACCGCCGCATCAACTCACAATGTGAGCACCAAATCGTGCAGGCCATGGTGTCTGGAAAGTTGTCCGTGAAAACTACTAAATCCCCAACGCCACCTCAGCTCACCTGCGGCTTCATCCGACTCTGCTGCGGAAGTTGCAGACACACGGGCAGGCGTAGTCCGGCATCTATGGCTGAGAGCTGGTGGTCAGTTTGCGCAGACGCAACCTGCTTGCCTTGCTGAGGAATGCTCAGCTTACACACCTCGCGTCGCTCGCCCTGTAAGAAAGAGCTAAGCAAGAGATGTTTCAGCAATTTTTTGCATCCACGGTACCGGGCAAAAGGCAGATGATTTAGTGAATTTAGTGAGCTGACGAGTGCAAGAACATTAGAGGACACATGCCATGCAGTGACACGGCGCTGGGAGTGCTTCGAGCTTAGGGCATGCGCGAGGTTTGATTCACGGGGCCGACTCAAACTTACAACGCACCTCACTGCCGATTGACACGCTGCTTTTCAGGACAGGCACCACGCCTTCGGCATCTGCTGCTGTCCCTGCAGACAACGCTTTGTTGAATATCCGAATCCACACGTCCTGGCACCTGAACCCTTCGCAGCTCAGCATGACACCACATGACAGCCGCTTCCACGTGGAGTCACATGCAGGCCGAATAGTGATGTTTTGCATGTTCGATCTCTACTTGAACGGGCGAGCAGCACGACGAATCATCACGACGTCATGGACGCATACTGCATATTCTTGTGTGCATGCTTGCCAAATGAGACCTTGTACGATCTTGCGTCAATGGCTGTTGCAGAGTCTTCGGAGCTCTCGAAGCAGCCGACACCCCAACTTGCACAAGCTCGGAGTTGCATCCAGCAAGCTGAACGCAGTATTTTGCTGGGTGTGCCTTCAAGAAAGGAAGGCTCTCTTTTACCTGAAGAGGGCTGTCTTACAGCAGCTTCTGCAGCATTCCGTTGGGTCGTCCGGCTTCCAGACAACTGTGGGGCACGCCACATCGGGCCTTCTGTGGCCACCGCCGCATCATACCAAATCGTGCAGGTCATGGTGTCTGGAAAGTTGTCCGTGAAAACTACTAAATCCCCAACGCCACCTCAGCTCACCTGCGGCTTCATCCGACTCTGCTGCGGAAGTTGTGGACACACGGGCAGGCGTAGTCCGGCATCTATGGCTGAGAGCTGGTGATCAGTTTGCGCAGACGCAACCTGCTTGCCTTGCCGAGGAATGCTCAGCTTACACACCTCGCGTCGCTCGCCCTGTAAGAAAGAGCTAAGCAAGAGATGTTTCAGCAATTTTTTGCATCCACGGTACCGGGCAAAAGGCAGATGATTTAGTGAATTTAGTGAGCTGACGAGTGCAAGAACATTAGAGGACACCTGCCATGCAGTGACACGGCGCTGGGAGTGCTTCGAGCTTAGGGCATGCGCGAGGTTTGATTCACTGGGCCGACTCAAACTTACAACGCACCTCACTGCCGATTGACACGCTGCTTTTCAGGACAGGCACAACGCCTTCGGCATCTGCTGCTGTCCCTGCAGACAACGCTTTGTTGAATATCCGAATCCACACGTCCTGGCACCTGAACCCTTCACAGCTCAGCATGACACCACATGACAGCCGCTTCCACGTGGAGTCACATGCAGGCCGAATAGTGATGTTTTGCATGTTCGATCTCTACTTGAACGGGCGAGCAGCACGACGAATCATCACGACGTCATGGACGCAGACTGCCACCTCTGCAGCCGCTAGCAGTGACTCGTGTTTGCCGATGTGTCAACATCGAGCGATCTAGCGACGTTCTGAAAGTAAGGCATGTGATGTGCCTCTCGCATTGGCTTCCCTTCTGACTCGAGGCCAGCAATCCTCAAGCTCCAACTTCATGGAAGCCGCTGCAGACCCCGCACCAGCAAAATTGAACAGCTTTCGTGCTGTACTCGATCTCGCCTCAGTCGGAGCCCGACAAAAGCAAGGACACCCCGAGTCGCACAAGGTCGGAGCTGTGTCCAGTTGCCAGCAGAGCACACAAGATTGCTTCGTCGATGTGCTGCACCTGAAAACTAAATGCAGTATCGCCCATTCGGCTGAAGCTTCCGCAACATGTCTTTGCGTCATCCGGTTTGCAGCAAAGCGATACTCTCCATCGTGCCCGACGCTGTCTCATGGATTCCACTATGCCACATCAATCTCCGACCTGCGGCTTCACCCAACTCTGCCAGTTTGACCGGTCACCTAAAGCTGGCGCAGTCCAACTGTGGCTGATAGCTGCTGGTCCATCTGCAAAGAAGCAGCCTTCTCCGCCCTTCTCAACTTAGCGTTTCGCATCGAAGGTTGCATGCAAAGAAATGAAACTATGAAGGAACTACATCAACACTGCATTCCTGGATGGTCGGTGGAAGTGGTCAGCTTGGTGCATCTCGCCGGATGAGAATGCACAGAGAAATCGAGTGCGGTCATGTGAGGTTTGAGGCTTCGTGTGTTTAGAGTATGCAAGAGTTCTGGTTTTCTGCACCTTGCACTGCGTGCCAAAGCAGCTTCCAGCTTCTGGATATGGCACTGCCTTTCCAGGATGGGCACAAACCTTCGGCATCTGCAGCTGGAACGGCACGCAGCACTTTGCTGAAACTCCGAGTCCAAACCACGCGGTTCTGAAGCTCTGCGCACTTCAGTTTGACGCCACGTGACACTCGCTCGTCAAGTGGAGTTTACCAGTTTACCTACATGCAAGAACTGAAGTTTTGGATGTCCGGTCTCTAGATTGCAGCTTGCGCCCTGCAACGGGGCATCACGCTTTCGTGGATCTTGTTAATTACTGCCTAAATGGAAAGCAAGACTCAAATTTTACACTGGTTTAGAGCGCAGTCTTCACGCAAGGTTTCTGCGACGAGCGGACAGCTCTTCGCTGCAATGCCATCCTGACAGCGCTAATTGCAAGCTAAAACCACTTTTAACTGTGGCGATGAAACCAAAGAAATCGCGAGGCATCACTCGCTCTTCCTTTGATGTCCAGCTGTCTCCCACACCGTTGCGCAGTCCGCGTCGAGGGCCGAGTGTGCTTTCTTGGCACCTGGAAACGTTTCCTTCGCTGTCTGAGGCATGTAAAGCCTGGCAAATCCGGCCAGGCGCCAGAGAGTGACATGCCTTGCTCCGCAAGATACTGTGTCCATCTGCATGCACAAAGCCTGCACCCCCACCTTCGAGTTGGGCCATCAGTGCTTGATGGACTCAGAAACTCTCAAGGCCGAAAGCGGAAGTGCGACGGAAACATGGCGGAAGGATGGACGGACACCAAGGCTGCCAACGACTGGATGACAGCCGGGGCACTGGTCTAACAAGCTTGCGAGGCACCTGTTTTCTCAAAACCAGATACCTTCAAGCAGGCAAGGCCGAGCTTCGGCTTTTGAGGCTTGCATCTTTACTTTGCATGGTAAGGATGTGCAACCGCCGTAGCTATGTTTTGAGCTCAGATAACTCAGAGATGCTTTGTTCGCGGCGAAGCACATGCATGCAAAGCACGCGATGCAGGCCACTAAAGTGTGATCGATTCAGTCGGCAAGCCTGTCTGCGACAGGCCCTTGGCCAGCGTCGCAGGCCAAACAGAGCTGCACTGAGCTTTGCTGGGCACAATGCAGATCACACTTTGCTCGCCCTGTGGCTTCGCAGCAAAGGGCAGTCCGCGTTCCCGGGTACAAGACACAGGCACGAAACGCCGGCTTTGGCCTCATTGCACCGCGGCCGTGCTTGCCACCGGGATGAGGCAAGGCAAGAAGGCAACTTGGGCGAGACGCCAAGCACTATCACTGGTGCGCACCGCGCAGCCATGGGACAGCAATTGGAGCCTGCACTAGCCTGGCATCTGTTGCAGCGGCAGCCCGACTGCGTGCAGGAAAGTGCCTTTGGTCTCGTCCTTCCGGCGAGGCACTCACTGACTGCAGGAAGGTGAGCATGCTTTGAATGCTGGCAGATGCTGGCAGCAACATGGAGCAAACACGCCTGCAAACCAAGCCGCTAGATAAACGCTGGGCAAGCATGCTCTTACCCAGACGTCTGATGAGCTGACCGCATTAGCTGGGCCACGCTACAAGGCAAGGGCGACTAAGGCCAAGCAAGCGGAGATAAAGTCCGAGGTGTAGCAACTTGATGTGAATCGTGCACGCGGTGATGCCAGCACCGACCTGCATCGGTAGAATCCTTCGTCATAAGCACTTCTTACACGAAGTGGGATTAGTGGTAAACCAAAAAGCTAGGCCTCAGTGGGCGCGATCGCCTATTCCGACTACTCTAAACTGATGTGACAAGTCAGAGGCGAAGTGCCCTAAAGACCGAAGGGCAGCAGTGGCAGCAGCTCTTCAAGTTCAACTTAACTTGCAGCCTTGGCCTCTGGCACGCCACGGACATGGCAGGGGAAGCAGGGGGAGCCGTGAGCAGGGGGCAATGGCACGCGGAGGCGCTGCGATGCGCTGCGGTCGGCAGACCCTGGGCAAGCGCCAGGCCTGCCAGGCCTGAGTCACGAAGCGTCAAGGAGACGATTGCCTTTCGTCGACCTTTGGAATCCTCTCCAAGTGCGCACCTGGGACTTCACCAAAAATCCCGTATGTTTGGTGGTTTGAAGCTTCGTGAAGGTCGCCGGTAAGCTGCGACTATCTGCGACGGCTACTGCTACTGCAATTCGAAATTGAGCTGGTTAGAACATGAGTTAGGGCCTAGGGCCCAACCATAGCAGGCAGCACAGGCGTGAAGGGCCAGCACCTTCTCGAAGTTGCGGGCACAAGAAAGACCATGGTCACGCAAAGCAGCACACTGGCAAGTGTCGCAAGGCCAGGCGCTTCGTCAGGCAGGCACCACGGCCGTGGCCGCAGCGTGACGTGGACATCACGAGTCAATCCAGCGGAGGCGGAGGCGGAGTCCGGAAGCCTTGTGCCATCACGTCCCGTCAAAGAGCAAAGGCACAAAGTGAAAGCGGCAAAGACTCCAAGAAAGGAGAAAGGCTTTGGCAAGGCCAAGATCGCAAGGCCCAAACGGATCGCCAGCGGCAAGGAGCAAAGGAAGCTCCGCTTTGGCAGTCTTGTGTTGGCCATCTTTGCAATATTTAGGCTTGAGGTGCATGTACCCATGGAGCCGGAGCCGGCGGGGGGCCCCTAGACGATTCCTAGAAGCTTCGAAGATGTCGGCCTTACCCGACCACATGGCTATGGCCCTCCAAGCGGGTGCTACAACACATGCGACTCGACTGTTCACGGCGCACATGTGAGCTCATCGTCTTGCACGTTCCAAAGCCGCCAGGTACTTCGCTTGCACGGAGGCAATGCCGCCGCCAGACTCAGTTGGGGGCCGAGCTCGTTTTCAACACAAATTCAAACCTCACTTCGTCCACTCTGGAGTGCTTACAGAGTCATGAAACTGCGAATAAACAAACAAAGACTGTGCTCCTCTTCCTGATCCACATGCGGATGCTTGCAAACACTGCATTTTTGAGGGGCAGTGGCAATTAGTTAAATCAACCATTTTGGATGGGCGAGCCATCTTAAAGTCAGCCACTGTCTGTCGGCAACGGTTTCTCAGAAGCACTAGGAACCCTTTTTAAGCCTCGGCCTTGGCGACCGGACTGCTGAGCACTGCTCAAGTTAAGGAGTGCGCAGAGGACTCGAGCCAACTCGGAGGGCAACAAACCTCCCGAAAATCGTGCGTAGCGCTGGCATGGGCAGGGTCAGACCACATGAACGAAGTTGGCTTTGAAGCTTGCAGATTGCAGAGCAAGTGCAACTACACTAGATCCGGAAAGCCTAATATCGTCCAGGAAATCTTCCTCGCCAACAAGAGCCAAATGGCACACTTGTCCAAAATCCACTGCATGGACCAGCAGGTGTCGTTGAGCCCTCAGCCGTGAACATCCCGGCCCGAGGATGAGTTTGGGAATCTCCGGAGTCTTAGCATACGCTGAACTTCAAGGGGGGAAGGAACGGCCATCGTGGTAAGCCGACTCAAGCGATGACGATACTACAGTGCCTGGGGGATCCCAAAAATGCTTTCGGTAGCCGCACAAGCGCTGGCTGCTCGTTGACGTTCGCAGGCTGGATGCATAAATGGGCTCAGCGATACATGCACGGCTCATGGATCCCCTCGGCTGAACGAAAAAGAGGGGCTGTTGGAAGCCTTGTAGCTCTCAACAAACCAACTGAATGAGACGGGCCGAGCCTTTGCACACTCTTACGGGATCCAAACGATCCAAGACCATCTTTCAAAAAATCTGGCTCAGCTTGGACTTTGTGCACCTACAACGACAACGAAGCAGGCGGCTTGGGTAGCCAGACCTTGTGCAAGGCTTCATCTTAAGGCTGTGCAGAGAAGCGTGTGATGTTCGGCACGGATCAAACCTGCAAGCATACTCTGCGTCAAATCCGCAGAGACCTGGAGGAGAACATCCAGAACGTTGCAGCATCAGCCCCTACACAGCGAACCTTAGCTCGGAACTCTTGCATGTGGCCCTTCGTTAAGCAACTCCACCGACACGCTTGCTGATGGCCTTAGTATAAAGCTGCTAGAAGCAGTCTTTTGGGTGGCTTTGGGTGAGTCTGTTGGGTAGTGGGACGATTAAAACTGCAATCAAACGCAGAAGCTGACTTTATTCCCTGATCTTGCACGAGATGACACCCTCCAGGTCCAAAGCAGTTTTATACTCCGGTGAACGACGAGCTCTCATAGGCGTTTGCATGGATGTGCACACTAAGCGCACGCTGCGCAGGAGCGTACTGAGCTACCCAGAAGCAGTTCTGGCCATACGGCGCTTCCAGGTCCTGGCTGGCTCTGGAGGCAATGCCAAACTTCCTCAAACCCGGCCAGATCCATGGAGGCGACTGATAGCTCCTGCGAGGCTAGTACGGCCAGATGTGCTGAGAATTCCTTGCCTTCCACCCGACCTCAATCTGTGCACATACACTACCTGTGCAGTCAACCTCTTCAATGAGTTCGGAACGTTTCTATACCGCAAACGGTCTTATCATTTAGAAGGTACCTTTCTAAAAAACCGACACCGCAGCGACCCAGGCAATTCTTCTCCAGTTAGAGTTCGCAGCCGCTGTCAGTACTTACCGAGATTATGATTGGTGTGGTCTTATTCGTCTTTATTACTTTCATTTGGTTTTGATGGGAGGGCGGTGACAAGCGGAGGGTGTTGATGGGAATTCCGAGCGCCTTCAACAGTGCACCGATAACACATCACAGGTGCAGATTATTCGCAGAATCGGCAGATAGGTTCACAGATGCGCAGATTCATTGGCGAGGTACCAGATCGTAGGGTCCTTTCAATCTGCGAATCTTCGCATCTGTGAGCTGCGAATAATCGCAGATTTTCAAACTCTGGTAGATTTCTATAATCTGCGAATCTGCGATTTTGCTACTGGCAGGAGAAAATATTGAAATTATGTTGCATTAAAGACAATGTTTTCCCTCCTCTCTGTGTACACAAGGATACGGGCATCATTTAAAAGGTTAGCTCATGGAAACGGCTTTGTGCTTAATGAGCCTACATAATTGGATTTCCAAACAAATCTCCCGTTGTTTCTGTATCAATCAATCTAACTGCATCTCGGCCTTTCTACTTTAGGGTAAGTAACTCACGTACCATCCCATTGCCAATGCCAGAGTAGGAGCTTCAATGGATGTATTCAAAAGCTTGTCTTTTATACCATTGTAAGCTCATGGTCACAGTCGTGTCAACAACTGCCTGATTCAAAATCCTTACACAGTCGTCCTTAGGTTTCTATTCATGTCATGACGAGGTCATCGTCGTCAAAGTTCATGATTTTGCTATGGTTGTCGTATGGTTTGGTTTACGATGTCTTTATTGATTTTTGGACATGCACGTATGAGATACGGTCTCCATAAGATTTTGATAGGTCCCCAACCTCCTCCAGGACTAATCATGAGATGTTGTTACTGCTGTTGCTATGTTTTTCGCACTTGCAGCCGGGCTGTTTTCCGAGCCGTGCTTTCCCGCATAGCGAAAACCATAACAGCACTTTAAACCATAACACAACCATAATCAAACCACGGCAAAACCGAATTTACCACCACAAGCGGAATGCACCCCTAAACTCTGAAACAGAATACAACCATAAAATCCGCCAAGGCCACAGGCCCAGGCTTCTTGGGGGTTACCTCAAATACCCTCACCTAATCCTCCTCCCCGCTTTTTGCGTTTGTTTGCCACCCCCTTGCCCGGCTTCCCTTCATTTTACCTGATTTTTCGGCATTCCCCCCTCTTTTCCTGCTGTTGTTTGCCTTCCCCCCCCTCCCCCCCTTCCTCCTGCTCCTGCCCAGCGCGCGCGGCCATGCTGGTCCCTGTACAGCTGTTCGTTCCTTCTTGCCGCATGCTGCCATGTCTCGCTGAAAAACCAGCTCTACGGCGCCCCCGCACCTGTTGAATCGTGGGAGTCCTGCTCAAAGAAATCTCAATATAGCCGTGACCTGAACAGATTTCCTAAGTGATACAGAAGGCTTTGCCGTTTCATCCGGCCCCTGCACCTGCAGAGCCGAGGCGGGCGGCATAGCGTTAAAATTATTATCAGTCATTATTGGCACATACCGCTACGTTCAGGACTGGTAGTATCGGTGGCTAACACTATTTCTAGTAGCGGTAGTGGTACTGCTACTGTGATGCGAATATCACTACTAAATAAAATTACTGGTAACATTCATGCTTGGAGCAACGGCCGCGACTAGTGCTCTTCTTGGTGAATACCAATGCCACTGCTAGAAGCATGAGAGGTTCAGGGGTGGCCAGGGTTGCAGGAACGTATAAGCGCAGGGGAACTGCAGGCCACAAGAAGCCACATTAAGGCGGGACTGCAGGGGAGTGCAGGCTGCAGGGTCCACAGGAATAGCGTCTTAGTCGTCGAGCTGGAAACAGCCCATCCTTCCGAATCCGAATCCCTCGAAAAGATACTGAATGCTGGCCCAATATCAAGTTCGGATTTAGAGGAATCACCAAAACCCGAGGCGGGCTCTGGGGTGCCGTCGTCCTGCAGGGCCCATTCCTCTCTCCACAGACCAGTGCCGGGGAGCCTCGACTGCAGGAGAAGCACTTCCAGTGCCAGGGAAACAGTTGTCATTCAACATATCTCGGCATCTTGAATGAACATGGACGCCTTGGGATTGCCTCGCACACTCCCCTGCGAGCCTTCGATGCAGAAGCCACGCAATCAGAGCCAATCAAGCTGGCCGGTGTAGTAGACCGAATCTGAGAACAGTACCTGCAAATTGAAAGCATTTTCATGGACCACCCACTTACACTTACGTCGCCGAAAGAAACAGTTCCTGCCTACTGCACGGGCGTACCAAAATCAATCACTTTGAGGGTTTGGGCTGGCGCTGGCATCCTGGGCTCTACACCACCCCAACACCTCATTTTGTTCCCATCCCCATGTTCTCCTTGTTTCTTGATTGGTCTCGCAACGCACGACCCCGTCGTCTGCTTTCGTAGATTCGGGCCGTGATACGTTCATCTTCTTTGGGATTTTTTAGCTCGTCACCCTGTCATCTCCGATGTCACTCACAGACCCATCAGTTCGGATTAGGGTGCTGTGCTCGGCCATCCTTTATTCATTGCACGACACTGTCTAATGTTCTTTTGGAACTCTTGGGCTTGCCACCCGTCATGTCCTTTTAAGGGTTTGGGGTTTGGGCAGTTGGAAATGCATCAACGCATCATCTCCATTTGGGGGTTGGGGCTTCCACTTGCCAACCCCATCATGTCCTGTCGTGCTTTAACACCTACTGACAAGACATGTCACCACGCCTTGTCGCTAGTCATCTGCCACTGGCAAAGTGCAGCCGCCATGGCCAAAGCAGAAAGCTACATCGAAAAGGCTGCGGCTCCTTCCGACCCCGAGGTTGCTTTGGAAACTGCAGCAACTACGGACACATCCGCCAAGCCAATGAAAACGACAACGACGCCGAGAATGTCTGGTTGAAGTCAAGAGATTTCAAGAGTCAAACTGAGCGAACGAGCCCCGTGGCAGCAGGTGTTGAAACTTCCCGTTGCAACTGGGCTTGGGGTGCGGCGCTTACATGGTGAAGCCTTGTTCGCTAGCAGAGTCGTCGTGCCTGCAGTATAAAGCTTCTACATGCACAGCGAGACCGTC